ATACACAATTATTTTCATTACAAACGTGTTCTCTGTTGTCGTAAACAACACACCTAGAAGAAGAACGAATATTAGTGGCTCTAGCTGAATTTCCCGTTAATTGAATTTCCCAATGAATGAGGTGAATTTCCCATTGATTTTCTTCACTGAAACATAAAAACATTTATAAATCTATGAATTTTAAGTCTTAAACCAAAACAACAACAAAAAACAACTGCAAGGTGACTTATGACTTAAAAAAAAAGACATATTTATGTTTAACAGTAAAGGAACGACACATCCCATAACTCATTACAAATCCCAGCGTCCTCAACAAACAACTTCCAACCTTCTCAAATGTAATCCTTTCCATTACTGCAATGTTAATATGGTTAATATTAATGTTGTATAATAAAAATTATATATATATATATATATATAGTAAAAGGCAGAATAAAGTCACAATAAATTAAATAATCTTTATAGTAAGTTAAAACACACAGATTTTTTTCAGCAAATTTCACTTTGCTGGTGCGTAGTTGTGTATTTAAATCTCAGAAATTGTCATATCATGAAAAATCTGGTACGTATTCAGGAAACCTCTGTTTTCATCACAGGAGCTACTGAGAGAAAGATCTTAATCCTCATGCAAAAAAAGGAAAAACCACTGAAGCCAGTCGTTCCTCACGCTTGGAAAGCGTAGCGTACCTAAATGAAATTGCAACTTTAGTGCATACTTCATTTTTTCTTGTGCTTTAGCAGAAAACCAGAGAAGGCCAATTAACGCACATGGTGTAAACACATCAGACATCCTGCTGTTTTATTTTTCTGTGAGGAGTACAAGAAAGTTAACCACACACTAAAATACGAGAAGTTCAAGTTCTCCCGTCAAAGAAAAACCAAAGTGTTTTTGATTGCACCTTTCACTCGCCCCTTTAAAACCAGATGAATCCATCTTCTCATAAACTGTTTATGAGACCGACAGCTCCATTGCTCCTGGCGGTGGTGTTTATGTCACTGGTAACACGCAGAAAACATTTAGGCCGAAGCCACGGCCTCGTTGATGAAGAAACTCACAGATTAGGTTCATTATGAGTCATGATTGAAGAACCCAAACTGAGAGAGGTCACACAGGTTATGAAAAAAGCAAGCGCTCCTTTACACAGGTCTAACATTTGTGGTGTTTCTGAGAGTCCGTGCGTGCTATGTGACGTGCATTCACAGCGGGCGGTCTGGTCTCCATTATCCTGCCTGTGTCCACGCTCATGATAGAAAGCCCGTCTCCACTAAAACGTAACAGATTAATTTTGATTCTAACAGCGTGTGTAACATGCAGAAACACATGTTTGCTTTCCTTTCATTTGTTTCTTCCACACAGGCTTGCTGAATGCCTACTCCTGGAGTCTGTCTTCAATCTGCCACAGAGAGATGAAAATATTATCTCAGAAGTTGTTATTATTTTAAATATCCAAGGGAGGAAGTGCAGAGTGTGTAGTGCGTACTCTGGCTGTTCTGGTTACGATGGATTTATTGTTACTGTGAAGCTGCCAGCTCATGTGATCAAGGAAATGTTCTGTCCTCGAAATTTTCACTCTTGGCTGAAAAATAATCAGAATTATTTGATGAAAAAATATCTGAAGTGAAGGCCAGTTTACTACTTGTACAGTAATGATTCATGATTCATGTACATGTTTAGTAATATTGTTTTAAAGGTCACACTTTGATCTTAAAGGGCAAAAGTTATACTAAAGCGTTGACATTAACTCACTATAGAGTTTTGCTTTGAGGTAAGGTAACTGCATGTGATAGAAAAACTCTGATTTTCCTCTTTTAAGTGTTTCTGTCTGTTCCTCTCTCTGTACTGTAGAACTGTATAGTCACACAGTATTTGGTCAGACTGATTTGTGGCACCATCAGCTCATTGCACACTTTTTGGTTCCCTTGAGTGTGTCTAATGACTATAAGCACATTCCAACTCTAATCATCGCTTCATAAATATGTGTACACGTGAATGTACTTATTCACGACATTCACCTTAAATATTTGGATTTAATTGTGCCTTACTTATGCGTTTGGAAGCAAATGTGATCCTTGTCTTATTGAGGATTTTAATTTTTCTGTGTATTTTTGCATGAATATGTTGATAGATATGTATCAGTGTTCTCCTCAGTATGCTTTCTTGTAAAAGGCTTTTTGTTTTTTCTCTAGTCTCCCTTCAAAAACTATTAAAAATTGTTAGAAGCATCTGTGATAGTTTTTACAGCAAGCTTTATGGCAGTCAGGTATATATTAGGGGTGCAACGATACTCGTATCGATATTGAAGCTTTCGGTTCGGTACGCATATGTATGAACAATACAAAAATTTTAATTTATTTTATCAACTTT